TTATTTGTTCTTCCACAAGAAAAAGAAACAATTTTGGGCCCAAATGAGTGTGGTTCTAACAGTGCTCTAGCTTTATAAAATAGGTATGTATGAAACTCTGCAGTAGACACATAATATCTGAAACAAAATAAATACATTTTCTAAGTCCCATAGGCCAATTAGATGTGGTTAGATAGCACCTAGAGTTAAGTAAACCATCTAAACAGCAATAATATCTTTTAAAATGACTTTTAAGATGGCAACCGTCTTATTTCGTGTATGTAGAAGTGTTGCTTTCATAAGTAAAGGTTTTAAAGGCAGTGGAAATTTTTTATATTTGCAGGAACTTTTTTTCTTAATGTATATTATACTATTTTAGCCTTATTATTAATTAGTAAATGAAATGAAGGTACATCTCAGCTTTGACTCTTCATTTCATTATTGTCACTTACATGTGAACCATGCTTAACCAGGCAGTGCTGACTTCATTTACCTGTTCCCACTGGAAGGAACTCACTTGCCTGGTGGCACAGCCTTCCCCAGGCAAGAGGCCACAAGGCCAGGGATCAGGACAGGACACTGTGAGAAGCAAGCTCTTCTACCTGCACAGAATGTGACTCTTCTCCCCAGCAGTGCAGAGGTACATGTGGCTTTGTTTTGTCTGGAAACATTTTCTCAATATGAAGTCTAAAATTTTCAAGACAGTCAATGGACTGTCCCTCTGTATTTAAAAGCCTTTCTCCAGTTACTCCTCTCTTGCTTTGGAGCAAACATGTTTGTTGCTCCATAATGCTTAGGCTAGCACAGCTCAGGGAAATAACCTCAGAGTAAGAGCTCTTTCTTCTCCCTACCCTTAGTTCCTTTCTTCAAGTACTGTCTTCTCTTAGTTTCTAACATTTACAGTGTTGTTTGTAGTTGTTTACCATGGAAACAGTATTTCAATTACATTGAGTTATAATATCATTTCAAACCTACAAATTTCAAACAAATTAGGAGAAACCTCTGTATTTTTTTAGAGGGATTTTTGTTATAGGGTACGTGCACTTGCCATAGAAACAGAAAACAAGAAATCACTCTCCTCCCGGTGGTGGTGGTGGGGCGGCAGCGGGGAATGACCATGCCACAGTCCCTTCCCTTCCATATTCCTCTCGAGATTTTGGGCACACATACACATGTGCCTGGCATGAGTTTCAAGCCTCTAGGTCCAGGACTCAAACACACTTGGCCATGGGGGAGTCCAGCATCATAAACATTATGTCACCTGCTAATCCCTAGGAGAAGTTTTGTAATATTGCCTTTTTGTGTGGTAAATCCCCTCCACTTCAAGATGGTTGTCATTCTTTCATACACAAGAATAGAACTCAAATTGAAAAATTCCATGGAGCAAGTCAGTCTTACTAACTGAATATAAAAATTATAGTAGGCGCTTAACATCTTCAGATTTATTGTGTACCAAGCACTGTGTAAAGAGCTCACTGTAAATTTGGTCACTAAATTGTTATAACAACCCATATGGAAAGCATTATAATTATCTCCATACTTTTAGATGAGACTATAATAGACTCTCAAAATGTTGGTCAAATAAGTTGTAGAGCCTTTTTAGTGCCGGGCATTGAGTGAGGTACCAAGACTCTAAAGAAGCAATGACAGGACTAGAGGTGGTATAGTAATCATGCAACTGGACTACATGGGAAGGTCCACAGTTCACATTTTGGGGCCTCCCTTATATACCTAGTGCATGTGCATGTGCCTGTGATCCTGGTTAGCTCAGACTGAGGGTAGATTGCAATGCGAAGACCATGTTGAGAGAGTGTGTTTAAGTCTGTGTGTGTGTGTGTGTGTGTGTGTGTGTGTCTCCTCTCATGAAATAAATAAACTTTTAAGAAATAAAGAGGGATCAGCAGGTGCCATGGTGGTTAAGGCACTGGACTCCCATATGGCCGACTGTGGTTTGAGTCCCAGACATGGTGGCTTGCTTTCTCACTTTCCCTCTCTCTCTCTGTCTCTCTCTGGTGAGCACATGTTCCCTATAGCAAATTTTTAAATAATATGGGACCAGAAAATGTCATAATGGTTACGTCACTGAACTCCCATGTAGTTGACTGCAGTTTGAGGCCCAGACCTGGTGGCTTAACTCTCAGGCCAGGAGTGTGTGCATGCATACGCAAAATCCCAAGAGGAGAATGGAGGAGAAGTGACTGCAGCATGGCCATCCCCCCTGGGGGTGACTTCCCACTTTCTGTCTCTCTTTCTTGGTCTCTCCAGCAGGTGCACACACCTGATAGCAAAATCTCTTTCTAAGACAATTTAAAAATAAATAATTAATAAAAAAATAATAAAATAAAATTAGTAATTCTTTAATAAACTAAAATACTAGGTTGTTGGAAAAGTCATAATGCATTTTTGGTAAGGAAAACATAGAAAAATACGTCATGACTTTCCGATGACCCAATAAAGAGGCAGAGACATGAACCTTGCCTTTCCAGTACTTACACAGTACAGTGAGTGTCCAAATGAATACGTCAGTGTGTACATTTTATGTGTTCACAGAGGTCAGGCCCACTCTGGGTTTTGATACTTAAGGAAGCTCTTGGAAACCTTGGCATTGAGATGGACATTAAAAGGAGTTGGAAAAAATATTCCAGAAAGGAGCTATATATTTGAAGTGGAAAGATTTATTTTTTTAACAATTTTATGAAACAGTAGTTTGAACATTTATTTGCCTTGAGTGGAGAGATTAAATTAGGGGTTTGTAATTGGGGTCTTTAGGGCTCCAGGTGATAGTGCCGTGGACAATGCCATAAAGAGGAGGGTATCTGAATGCAAATTCCCCCATAGATAACATACTGGCATCAGTGGACTGACTAAGAGCTAAAGAAAGAAAGGTTAGCACCTAACATGTTGTCATTATGATCTGCTAATAACAATAGTTGACATTTAGTGAGCACTTACTATGTGTCAGATCCTGTTTTATGTGTTTTTTACATATATTATTTCATTTAATCCCACAACAACCTTATGAGGTAATTTTATAGATACTGGAGCTAAGTAAGTCACAGATCAACTCATCTAGTAAGAGGCAGAGTCAGGATTTGAACATAGGCTGTTGACTTTAATAGTCCTCCCTGCTCTGCACTATAGTGGAACTAGAATTTCTTGCTTAGGAAAATTTCTATTAGTTGTAGCATCTTATCTCAAAACTTGCTACTTACATCCTGAGCCTTATAATCCCACAGACACATAAGGGGCACTAACTCATACACACACCTCTCCACTGTAGGTTGTCTAGAGGAAAGAAGAAAGCAAGGAGAAGTTTAATTTCTTACTAATACAAGTTTCTTGTCATTTTTATCATTTTGATATCAGTTTATGAGACTGCTTTTGATCAAGCATTAATAACTACCTGTAAGAGAAGACCTAGGATGTGTGAATAAGCTATTCGTAAGATTATAAGATTGAATATAAGAGTGCTGTAGAATGAATGAGTAGAGAGAGTGAGTACATGGGAGAGGAGAGCATTCCCAGCTGTGAATGGTGATGTTGGCGAAGACGAGGAATCCTGCTTGGGTAGAAGGTGAAAGCAGAAATATTGACTGCAGTGGAGTTTTAAAGGTAAACAGCATGTGAACATAATTCTGAATCATGCCAGTAGACAGGACAAGTGACAAGGTAAAGACATCTTATCTTCTTCCGTGTGAGAATTAGTGGGAAGGGTGGATGGAGTTGAGGTAAGGCAGCTAGAAGAAGGGATGTGGTTGAGAGCAGAAACAATAGGCTCTGAGATCTGAGGATGGAGGGCACACTAAAATATTAATCTAGATTATAGGTCCAAGAAAAAGTCTTGCCCATTATGAAGTAGGGTAGTAGTAATCAGTGCTAAATAGGCAAAAGATTGCTGATTTTTTTTTTTGAGAGGTTTTTGCTATAGGGTGCGTGTGCTTGCCAAAAAGAGAGAGAGAGACAGAGAATTATTCCCCCACCCCCGAGGGGGGATGACCACGCATGCATCTGCGCCCAGGGTGAGTTTAAGCCACTAGGTCTGGGACTCGAATCACGTCAACTACATGGGAGTCCAGTGATAGCCATTGCACCAACTGCTGGTCCCAAGATTGCTGGATTTTTAAGGCAAGGGAGTTAACTGGTAAGAGAGATATTATCATCTTAGGAGACATATCATGCTCAGGGCATCAGTGAAAGAGTATGTCATTGTTTGGGGGTGATCAGTCAAACAACCCACCTTCCAGTATGTAAATTTCCACTACGGTGTACCAGGCTGGTGGTCAACCAACTTTTTCTCAGATGGTGCATACATGACCTTGGCAGCTCTGTTACGAAGCTTATCCCCATGGCTTCTGACTGCTGACCCACTTCTCTCCTGTGAACTAGACAGGTCTGGTAGTCTTTCTTTGGATACAGCCCCCCTGATTTCCACCTCCTCTAAAGCACTTACCCCCCTCCGAAGGATGATGGTACACTGGGTCAGATCTTCAAGTTCAAATTGATGCATGTTTAAAAATAAAAAGTCATATGGATGTTTTCATGTATTCCTGAAGTCTGATTCTGAATTTCTCTTTCTAATAGCTATCCTGGTAATATGAGGTTAAGGGTGAGAAGGTTTGTGTTTGTATTTGGAGAGATGGTATAGTGTAACAGGCAGTATCAAAATAGTGAATCCTGCTGATAAAATCGTTTATCCTGCACTTCTTCAATTCCCATCTCAAATCCAACAGAAGATGCTCACTGACATAGCTCCAGAATGGCAAATTACTGTTCCTGTGAATGAAGATAATTTCTTTTTACAGGTCTTTGCGGTAATTAGTAAGCAGGAAAAGAGAACTGAAATGGACGGGTAAATATTGACCCAAGCACCCGGGAACACCATTATTGATAGCCCTTGCTTGTTCACTGCGGTTTGTTCTGTCCTATTTTTCAGTGCCTTTGGTTCTGCCTTGCAGTGTGAATCTGTATTACCACCCAGTTGGTCACCACTCAGTCTATGTTTTCATCTTTTCAAAACCTAGGTAAGAACCTGGATGCTGTCCATGACATCACTGTGGCATATCCTCACAACATCCCCCAGACAGAGAAGCACCTCCTCCAGGGAAACTTTCCCAAGGAGATTCACTTTCACGTCCACCGATACCCAATAGACACCCTTCCCACATCCAAAGAGGACCTTCAACTTTGGTGCCACAAACGGTGGGAAGAGAAAGAAGAGAGGCTGCGTTCCTTCTATCAAGGGCAGAAGGATTTTTACTTTACTGGACAGAGTGTAATTCCACCTTGCAAGTCTGAGCTCAGGGTCCTTGTGGTCAAATTGCTTTCTATACTGTATTGGACCCTGTTCAGTCCTGCAATGTGCCTGCTCATATACTTGTACAGTCTGGTCCGGTGGTATTTTATCATCGTCATTGTAGTCTTTGTGCTTCAAGAGAGGATATTTGGAGGACTGGAGATCATTGAACTTGCATGTTACCGTTTGTTACACAAACAGCCACATTTAAATTCAAAGAAAAATGAGTAAGATTATATAAGGTTCGCAATGTAAAAACCTAGCGGTTATTTTGGAAATATTTGAAGTCTTTGTAAACTGAGATGCATTTTTGCATGACTATGTCATATTTCTTACTACCCACCATTATTTGTTAAAGATATTTTGCACTTAATTTTGTGGGGAAAATATTGCTACAATTTTTTTTTAATCTCTGAATGTAATTTCAATACTACGCACATAACAGGGAGTATTGCTGTGAAATAATTTGGGCCAGAGTATTATTAAATAATCAGCAGGCTGTTAATAGACAAGGTACACACAATTTTTCTTAAAGGCCCAATCCTATTTCCTGATAGACTCCCCAGACCAGAGGAGATCAGAGCCTGGTGGTGAGCTCTGTCTGGCCCAGATCACCTGCTGGTACTTGACTGCCGAGGCCACCTTGTGGAGGTAGCGTCCTTCCTCCAGGGACCCAGGCAGGTAATCCCAGGCTTCCTCCCTCAGTCCTGTCCACCTACTCCTTTCTATGCCAATCAGACCCATCTCATCCTTCCCTAAGATCGGAAACCAAATTCTCTTGTCCTTAAACTGATCAAACACTTGATAGGAAGCACTTCATTATTCGTAAATCTGTGCTGACCTAGGGGTCAGAAGACCACCTGTGCCCTTTTCTCATGTAGAAATTAAGACCTGGACGTGTCTCAGGGAGCAACCACAGACTCTCCACTTTGGAACTTTACTTTGACTTTTAAGAGACAGGCATTAATGCAATTTAAGTTCTTATGCTCGGTCTTGCATGTTTAGTGCTGGTTTCCTTATGACGTGTTGGCAGGTGTCCTTTTTGCTGCATTGAAAACGGTATACATGAAGTCACATACTTTTTTAAAGGAACACTTAGAAGAACATTTTGTTTTTGTAGTCAGAAACCCCCTTTTGAAATATTTCTTGAAAATCTACCAAAAGAAGGGAGATTAGTGTATTTTTTACACATGCATGGGTATCCAACTTTTGCTGTTAACAACCACTACAAAAATGCATATAGGCAGGGCAGTAATGGTTCATCCTAAATATCAACCTTTGTAGTCTTGACAAATTTTATGCTTAAAATCAAAATGATAACACAAGGGTGAATCCTTCCTACTGTTAGCAAGGGATCTTTCTCTCTCCCTCTTTCTAGTCCCAGGCCTTCTCTTTCAATATCAATGCTTAAACCCATCTTTGACCATTTCTTCACCTAAGTATTCCTGTCATTTGGAGTCAATGGAAAATCCAGCGAACCAAGAGCACCAATCTCCTTCTGAGGCCAAAGAAGCAAACGAGTTGTCATTGTTTCCACTCCACCAGAGCTATGCATCCCTGTTTTTGTCATGTGATAAGGATGCTGGTCAGGGCTGTAGAAAACAGGAGGCAATTAAAAGTCTTTAGCTGTTAGCAAATCTGTCAGCTTTTTGCCTGTGTTGAACCAGCCTGAAAAACTATTTACCGCTTTATGCACTCTGTGGGCATGAGTGCATTCTCTTTAATGACACCTCATTTTTGCTTGCCATTGACTTTTATCCAACAATTGAATCGCACATTTCATGAAAGGTAAACACGTCATGAGTTGAACTTAGCAAGCAGATTCTTTGAGAAAGCGCTGGTTGAGGCAAAACACTGTTGACACATCATTTTCATTGGAAGAGTATTAACTAAATACACCAGTCATATTTAACTGCTTCCTCCAAGCTGTTTTGGGAACTACTAATTAGTTATTATGCACATCTGATCCAAACTCAGCTGTTTAACTATGTGGGTCTTAAGGTTTTCTTTCTTTTTTTTTTAATAACTTTTTTCCCTTCCCTTAATAAAAGAAGTTTCTAATTTAAGTTTCCGTAAGACTTCCTTTGATTATATTTAGAAAGACAAAAATAGTTTAACAATCAGGATCACCCTGGGTACAAGAGAAGAGCTATACTTTCTACCCAAAGGTGCTCATAATGCAGCCCATCTGCTCTTCCGTAAAACACACATGGTTCACGGTTCAAAGCATAACTTTCATTTAACTGCATGTCCACTTTAACTCCCCCAAATTTCTAAATGGTAAAATCTTTTTCCTTAAATTTTTTTTGATCATAGAAACCATGTTTAAAATAAACTTTATTTTACCTACCCCAAATTCATAGTTATAAAGCATTGAAACTGGGTGATATAGATATTGTATTTACTTTACAAATTAGAAATTAACTCCCACAAAAAATGTCTTCTTTTTTTTGCTTTAAGGCTTTAAAAATTGTAATTATTTGTGTTTCCCTAAAAACAATATTAAGGCCTTTCTTCATTTATTAAAAAAATTAGAGAACTAGACAGTCCATGATTTAGAACTTAGAAGTACTTAAAATTGATACTGAAATGTCAAGCATAAGTTAATTTAGCTTTTGTGATTTGTGATTGGCCTCAAGAACGATCCCATCCACACTTTGCCACATCATCAGTCTAGCCTTGGAGTAGCCGCCTGACCTGCTGCACCTAAACACACTTCTGCTTCATGCCCTTTTGGTCCCGAAGGTAAAGCAGTGGTCATTGAGCTGTGTGCCCACCTGTTACTGTATCAACACAGGCTGGCGGGCAAGCCATCTCTAGTAACAAAAATATGTGTGTTTATGACGTGAACCATTATACTTAAAATAGGAATCTGCAGGGGCTAGGTGAAAGAAGTTCTTATACCAGACATCTTTGGTGAAACATGCCAAAGTAATTTTAAAATCCATTCAAAGACCCTGGTAAAAGACTAAAAATAAATTTTCAATGTTATAAATAGCCTATACTTTAAGACTCCTAATAAAATCTTTCCTTGTTTGTTATGCTTTTAAAACACAGATTAGAGGGAAATAATAGATTCTGCCAGAGTTACTTTGAAATTAGTTATTTGAACATGTGAAAAATAGTATATTGGTAGCCAAAACTGAATTTTACAGAAAGGGAAACATTCTCGTTTCACCCGAACTTCCAGTTCTGACCCTGAGCACAATGTCCTTGTGTATACTTTTACGATAAAGACTCTAGTGGAGGGAGCCTGTTGGTGGTCAACTGTTTACATTTCCTTATATAAATAATGTGCTTTCAGTGCCTTAGTTATGGGCCCCTTTCTCTTTCTTGTTCCAAGAACTCTGCAGTGTGTTTCTTAGGTAAAGTCTCTTTGCTACTCAATGGGAGGAAAATGGTCTCTAAACACTGGTCATTGTAGTTGGTGAACACTACTTTGTTATAACACGAGGTGAGGAGTGCTTGCTGCTGAGGTAGTGGCTGCCTTAGAGCTGTTATTTATGCTATAGAAAATGAAAATGATTTTGCCACACGATGAGCTTCAGATTAGTTGTGGCCCTAAAGTTATACCTACTTTAAACGTTTATTTCAGAAGAGAATCGTGATTTTTTAAAAGATCATTACGTGTAAAACACCAAGTTTTAAAAATAACTCACAGAACGGCCTTAGTTTTCGATGTCCACGGATATGTTTGTGAGTTGTGTTATCTGTAACATATGTACATCCCAGAATAAAGTGGAGTGAATTAAATAGTTTATGTATGTGTTTATGTTTCTGTTTGTGCAGGAGTGAAGAAAACTACAGGTTACAAGGTTATTTGTTTTTCCACATTTCTCCAGCCTACAGTTTGTAGTTTTAAGGAAGAGCTGGTCAGTTAGGACCCTTTTCAGAGGTTTAAAAAAAAGAGTAGGCAACAAGAATAAATGTGCTGCCTCCACAATTGAAGAAGTCCAAGGCTCAATGAATGTCATTACAAAGTGATTTCCCTCCATCTCTCAGTCCTGCCGTTTAGGACAATTTGGTTGTTCCACAGGTATGGATTCTTATGTAAGTTGCAGCACTAGTTCTTAAAGGTAAATGGGACTCTGTCCCTTTTCTTCCCCTCACCGAAGGGAGCCTAACTATGAAAGCAGATCTTGGACCCAAACCTGGTATGTATAAAAAAGGACTTAGTATACACATGAAAATCCTGGGATCTAGTCTTTCAGGCTCTATAATGTCCCACTCTGTCTTTGAGTTCTTAGTGAACACCTTGCATGAAAGATCACTCTTACAGGAACCCAGGATATTTCCTGGAAAAGGGCTGTGTGTATAGGACCAAAAGAGTACAGACCTCAAAAGCACTGATTTCAAGGGCTGGGCCATCATGCTTGTTCTGTTCAAGCACAAGTTAGAAAGGAGAGCATGGTTTTGTTTTGTTCTGTTGCCACAAGGTCTGTGCACTTGCCAGAGACAGAGATAGATACACAGAGACAGAAAAGAAGTGAGAAATCATCCCCCAGGGGGTATGGCCATGCCATAATCTCTTTTCCTCACTCTCAGGGTTTGGGGCATATACACACACACGTACCTAGCACGAGTTTCAAGCCACTTGATCTGGGACTTGAATTACACTTGGCCATGTGGGAGTCCAGCACCTTAACTACCATGCCACTTGCTAGCCTTAAGAGCCTAGTCTTTCAAATCACTTATTAATCTTTGGCATTATTCATTTCACTGATAAATTAGATAAGGGCTTAAGCAGTACCAGGAAGGTGGATTTCTGATGCAGATACATTAAATGCCAGTTAGCAAACCCTAGGGTGGACAGAAGTTCACCTACACCCAGAGAACGCACCCTTCATATTGAAATAAGTTACTAGAGTCAGCTTGCCCACCTGCCTGTGTTGACTTGCTTTGTAAGATCCAGGTGGTTCTATGATACCTGCTTTAGTCACCTTGCTCTACATCCTTTCAGGTTCAAGTCCAGGGGAAAGGACAAGAAAGAAGCTTTCCCAGTGGCTCAACAGTCCTAAATCGGCTCTCAGTGCCTGCTTCTAAACCAGTCCCTTGCCTAGAAATACCATGTGTGTTATATCCCTGGGCTACCATCTTCTGGAGCCAGAGATGGCTTGTTTACCTGGACCCTCTGCACTGAGTGTGAAAACTTTTTTTTTTTTTTAAATAGAATTATTTATTTGAGACCAGCAGATGGCATAATGGTTATGTCGCTAACTTCCACATAGTCAACTGTGGTTTGAGTCCTGGACTCAGAGGCTTGAAACTTACCAGGTGTGTGTATGTGTGTGTGTGTGTGCCCAAAATCCAGAGAGGAGAATTGAGAAGGTATTGTGGCATGGCCATCCCCCTGGGGGTGATTTCTCGCTTTCTGTCCCTGTCTCTCTCTATCTCCGGCAAGTGCTCATGCTGAAGAGTCTCTCTCAGGTTGCTTTTCTAAGAGCACTAAATCTATTTTTGAGGACCCTACTCCCATGACCTGACATTCTCCCAAGGATCCCACCATTTTTTTCTTTCTTTTTTTTTTTTTTTTTTTAGAGATTTTTGCTATAGGGTACATGCGCTCACTGGAGAGACAGCGAGAAATCAGCCCCCAAGGGATGACCACACTGCAATCCCTTCTCCTCCATTCTCCTCTTGGAATTTTGGGCACACCTGCACACATGCCCAGTGTGAGTTTTAAGCCGCCAAATCCGGGACTCCAACCACAGTCAGCTATGTGTGAGTCCAGCAACATAACCATTACGCCATCTGCTGGTCACCACCTTCTAACACTATCACCATGGGAGTTAGGATATTAATGTATGAATTCTATGAAGGACATAAACGCTAGGACCATAGGAACTTTATATATATTGTGTGTCTGGAGGGGGAACAGGATTGATAGAACTAGGATAGAAACTAGCCTTCTCTGACTCTATCTCATTTTATAGTATACATTTGGCTTTGGAACCAAGTCAATGTTTAATATAATTATAAAATTAAATATGAAAAAAACAATAAAAATAAAAAGGAAAAATGAAACAAATAAATCTAACATCAAATTTGTAGCTTAATCACAGAGAGGAATTATTTCAAGTAATTATAATGTATATCCACAATAGTATATGTCCATCCTAAAGACAAATTAACTACAAAAATTGTCACTTGTTTTTATCATGATATTGTTAGTAATGATATCAGTTTATTTTATGAAACTATCACATTTATTATAAGATAAAGAATATGAGTAAATAGGATAGTGTTACTATCCTATTTTAGTGTAAAATTCTTTTCTTTCCATATGTAAATATGAGATTTTGGAGGTTAAGTAAAAACCCTATAATTCTATGTGGGAATTGAAAATGCCCATGTGAATTTATGGTGTATCGTGTCAACAGGAAAGTCATGATGCATCTTTGCACAGAAAAATACGTCATGACTTTCCCAACAACCTAATATTTTTCTCTTTCTCCATTCTTACACTCCTTTTTAAAAGGACTGGCTTGCTTTGTCCATTGGAAATGCTCAGAAATAATGACCAACCAGTAGCATGAGTGCCTTGGTACCTAGGTAATGGAAAATCATTTTCCACTAAAAGGAACCAGGAGTTCTTGGAAAAAGCAGATTCTATTGAGGTTCTTAGAAAAAATGGCAGGACAAATAGGTAGAAAGTGGGTCTGGACACCTTGAGATACCAAAAAGCAACAAAGCTCTCAAAGGCCACTGAGGTCAGGTCAAAACAATTCAAGAGACAACTTCAAGAAGCTCCTACTGTCCAAAGAGGAATAACTGAGCATTAATAACTGAAATAGGGCCAGACCTTAGCTTAACAGGTAAGGGAGTAAGATCCCACATAGCTGACCATGGCTCTAGTCCTTGAAAAATACACTGGGTGTGTGTGCATGTCCAAAGCCCTGACTGGATGGAGAAATGAAGAAAAAAGAAGACACATGATCACACCCCACTGGAGATGCCTTTTCTCCCCCTTTCTACCTCTCTCTCTCTCTCAAGCTTGCATAACCTCTGGCAATTAAAAAAAGAAGATGCAGCAGCAGAAGGAGAACGAAAATACGTCATGACTTTCCCAACAACCTAATATTTTTCTCTTTCTCCATTCTTACACTCCTTTTTAAAAGGACTGGCTTGCTTTGTCCATTGGAAATGCTCAGAAATAATGACCAACCAGTAGCATGAGTGCCTTGGTACCTAGGTAATGGAAAATCATTTTCCACTAAAAGGAACCAGGAGTTCTTGGAAAAAGCAGATTCTATTGAGGTTCTTAGAAAAAATGGCAGGACAAATAGGTAGAAAGTGGGTCTGGACACCTTGAGATACCAAAAAGCAACAAAGCTCTCAAAGGCCACTGAGGTCAGGTCAAAACAATTCAAGAGACAACTTCAAGAAGCTCCTACTGTCCAAAGAGGAATAACTGAGCATTAATAACTGAAATAGGGCCAGACCTTAGCTTAACAGGTAAGGGAGTAAGATCCCACATAGCTGACCATGGCTCTAGTCCTTGAAAAATACACTGGGTGTGTGTGCATGTCCAAAGCCCTGACTGGATGGAGAAATGAAGAAAAAAGAAGACACATGATCACACCCCACTGGAGATGCCTTTTCTCCCCCTTTCTACCTCTCTCTCTCTCTCAAGCTTGCATAACCTCTGGCAATTAAAAAAAGAAGATGCAGCAGCAGAAGGAGAACGACTGAAATAGCTGGAAATGCATCCAATAAGGTGAAAATTAAGACAGTCAAAACTAAGTAAATAAAAATGATGATGCATTTGGAGGACGCTAAATAAACCATTACTCTGAAAACTTGTATATATAGAAAAATAATTTAACCTTCATGTTCTATATGGAGTTTTTCAAAGAGTTCATGGAACATGCATATTATGAAAAAACTGCATGAATTTTAAAATGTTTTTCACAACAAAATAAACTCATACTTTGATTCCATTTTACCACAGATGTTTTGAAGTCATCTGGTACAAACTATACAAGAAGTTAAATGGTTAATGAGGGACAGTTTCTTTTATAGAGAAATATTTCAGTTCTCCAAAAATAAACCCATACATATACAGTCACGAGTGCCAAGAATGCATAATGGAGCCAGAATAGTGTCTTCAATAACACAATGGGAAAGGATAGTCTTTTCAACAAACATGATGTTGGAAACTTGCATATCAATATGCAAAAAAAATTGAATCCCTACCTTATATCATACACAAGACCCACTCAAAATGGATTGAAGACTTCAACATAAGAACTGAAATAGTCATACTACTAGAAGATAACAAGAGAAAATCTTGACATTGATCTTGGCAATGACTGATTAGATATGACACCCAAGCACAGGCAACAAAATAAAAAATAGACAATCAACGGAATGAAAAGGCATCTTACAAAATGGGAGAAAATATCTGCAGACCATATACCTGATAGGGAATTAATGATATGTATATAAATAAAGAACAATTATTATTAATTAATTATTAATTATATATATAAATATATATAAAGAACTTCTATAGCTTAGTAACCAAAAAAAAATCCTAATGAAAAATAAGCAAATGACTTGAGCAGACATTTCTCCAAAGAAGACATGCAAATGGCCAACAATCATAAGAAAAGATACTCAACATCGTTATCAGGTAAATGCAGATCAAAACTATAAGATGTCACCTCATATCCATTACGATGACTATCATCAAAAACTAAAATAAACCCCTAGAAACAAAACATAACAACCAGTAGCAAGCATGTGAAGAAACTGGAA